GATGCAGAACCTCTGCATCACTAACATGGTGTTGCCACTGGATGTCAGTAATCCTTCGGAGACAACGATGATCGAACATAGCGAGTCGTTTAACATCTTCAACTCGGAGAGACCAGGTTTCACAAGTATAGAGCATTGTAGATCCGACGTTTTACAGCCAGACCAACATCATGAAGGCGCCAAAGATGGCCCGGATTGGCATAAGCCTCTCTGTCTTTCACTATACATGCATTGATCTCATCACTCACGCCACCACCAGCACTTGTGCAGCTACCCAGATACACGAACTTCTTGACTGCTTTTATCTGCTTACCATCCAGGATGAGTACAGGATTAGAATCCTGCCAGTCTTGTAGGAGTAATTTGCACTTCGAAGGTGCAAAGCACATGCCATACCTACGGACACTGATTGCCAACTGATTAAGTGCGGATTGCATGCCTTGGGCATTATCGCACAGTAAGACAATATCATCCGCATACTCAAGGTCGAGAAGTCTTTCTCTAGACAGCAGATCTACACTGCCATTACTTACATCCATCAGAGCTGTTTCCAGAATGTCGTCGATGGCAAAGTTGAAGAGGAATGGTGAGATTGGGCAACCCTGTTTAACCCCACTGCTCGAATGGAACAATGGAGAGAGGTGGTTGTATGCCCTCGCTCTGCCTAAGGTGTTTGTATATAGGGCTTTTAGGATGTTAATAAACTTCTCAGGCACACCCTTCTTCAATAGACAACCCCAGAGAACAGTCCTGTCCAACGAATCGAAGGCAGCCCTGATGTCAAGAAACACTACGATTGTTGACCTTTGATAAGTATGGCGGTGTTCTAACATTTGTCGGAGGGTGAAGATATGATCAATACATCCTCGACCAGAACGAAATCCAGCCTGCTCCTCGCGAGTCAATCTTTCTCGGGTTTTGAACAACCTACGAAGTATGACGGAAGCCGATAGCTTGGACGCAATCGGAAGTAGACTTATCCCCCGATAGTTGTTACAGGAACGACGTGAACCCTTTTAAAGATAGGGACAACTATCGACTCATTCCATGACGTTGGTACACTCTCAAGCTCCCAGACCTTTGTAAACAACGTTGTCAGTTCCTTAACCAGAAAGCCACCACCAACTTTAAAAAGAGTCGGAGGTAAGTCATCTGGGCCAGGTGATTTGTAACGCTTTTAGAGTTGGAGTTCCTTGCGGCTTTCCGATTCATTTGGTGGATCAGTCGTCGCCGGCCATGGAGGGCAGGACAGTCTGACCGATGTTGCCGGAGCAGCAGGCCAGTTGAACTACCCTTCGAAAAATTCCGCCCATCGTCCAAGACGTCGATGGATGTGGGTGATAGGCAACCCGTCATTTTCACAGATTGTTTCGATCACACCAGACTTACGGCCCCCAAGTGCCCTAGTATGGCCGAGAGTGGAGAGTGTTCGTCCTCCTTCTCGAAATGCTCTCACAAGGCCACGTATATACAGCCTATGACAGGCAAGTCCTACTCATTGCCTTGTGGGTCAGACCTCTAGGTCAAAGGCTCGGGGTGTGGCCCCCTAAGAAAACCACGTGCCTCGGTCTGGGCACCCGGGCAGTATCACAGCTCACACACAAATAGAATGAAATGACGATATTTACGGAAAATACTATCTTCTAAGTGAGCCTAATTAGTGTTTTCTAATAGTGGTTTTTAATCCATTTTAAGTTTGTTTGTTTATGTGTTCGTAGTTTGACACACGTGTAATTCTGTAATGTCCAAAAGTGTGTTAAGTAGTTTAAAGCATGTAGTCATCTGTCGACTAGTGGAAAGTCTTATTTAATATTGACTACAGATTACTTAGTATATTAAATGAAGCATTCCCAAACGTCTATTTGGTTTATACAGAATACTCAGTAACATTAATTACCTTTCAAGTTATTGGAGTAACTTTAGAGAACAGTGAAATTTGTTTAATTTCGTTACACTATAACTAGTCCTGTGTTACTGCTGATGAACTAATCAGTAGTTTAAATTCATTAAACATCTTTACACTCTCACTACCAAGCTTCTTAAAACCAAATACTTTTGTCTCGTTTCAGAGTTGAGTTTAAAATATTTTAATAGTGAATATCGCAGTGTGTATCTTATCTTTACAATACATATCTTTCATTTCATGAATTAATATTTCTTTACCAAATATAGCACAAATAACCTGCTAGTATGATGTACATCACTGTCATCATAGAGCATTCATCTGTCTATCTGATTTGATAAAAACCATTAAAAAGCAATTTAAATCTTTAGTATGTTTTTCAATATACATATTGTACAAAATTATTCTAAATTAGCATCATGAATTTGTGTTATTGGATAGTCCTGCAACAGGGCAAGGCAAAATAAAGTGTTTGCCTATTACTAATATTACTGCGTATATACATATTAAATAGTTGCGTCAAATAATTCATCCATACTTCAGTGTCCACAAGATTTTTCGGACCTAACTCGTATTTCTGTTAGCAGCATCAGCTGAGATAAAAATGTACCATATAATTAGGATTTTTGTGAACTGATCAAAACTCTCATTTTACGATCGATGCTATAAGGAAGAAAAGTAGGATAGGCAGACATATATATATCACGAAAAACATAAAAAGGGTACTTCAATTTATGTGATTGGAGGCTGGATCAAACTATCTTGGGCATGCATATAACCATGCTAGAATGTGGACATAAATGTATATGTGTTTCCAATCTATAGATTAAACTCTTTTTTATTACCGTACACCTTACTAATGTAAAATACATATGCTTAATTAACATACTAATGATAGTAACGACGTTATGTTTAACATTGAAATGCTTGCGGAAAATAGTGTTAATTGAATAGTGTACGTTCAAACATCGGAAAGTTACTCATTACAAATCCGAAAAAAAGACTTTTCAGATCTTTTTGTTTCCATGTCACTTTCAGAATTGAATTATTCCATCGGTATTGTGGGCTTTTGAATAAATGTCTTTATGCTGCTCACATTTACGACCTTACTGAACCCTACATTTGCCAAGATTCACATCACGGTTTGTTAGGACACACCAGGTGTATATCATGGTATTCTAGTGTATATGTTTCTACTGTGACTCCAGTTCAATACTCATTACTGAAAAAGATAAACATTTCAACTAATTATATCTATATCTATATATATATGCTAAAAATTAACTATCGCAAAATGCAATACTTCATCCTTTCTTTTTAGTTTGTTTAAAATATGTTCAAGGTGTCTGCATGAATTATTGAGAATACAATAATGTTCATATTACAATATATAATCTACTTTCTTATATTCGAGTTTCCTTCTGATATCACTTCAATTTCAAATAATCCTTTTATTAAACGACACCTCATAATCCGTATACAGTCATCATTAGTTTCTTACTTTATGATTAATTCCATAGAAACTTAAGAAGAAGGAGTTTATGAACTGTGATACCTGATGATTTTGTTCCATAAAATGTTTCATATTAAATGAATTTTATGAATAAATCATCTCAGAACTTAAAGTTCCTGGGTTCCTGCGTTGGTAGTAAGCACTATTGCAGAGCTTGTAATTAGGAGTAAACTGTTGTCTAGTGCTCTATGCAACATTATGGCTTTTCAACTGCATAAAAATTGTTCGCGAAATAACATACTATCTACGTATTTGTTTTTTTTTTGTATCCAAATGTTAAGTAGCCAGTGTTTCTTTCCATTTTATCGACTTGGATCCATCAAATAGACTTTGAACGGCTGTATAAACACTTCTGTAAATAAACAATCCTAAAATAACAATCTCCAATTTGATGAAATCTCTAAGTGAACATTTAAGTAAAATTTATCATTTGATAAGCCCATTGATCAATAGAGAAAATGTTTTGTTTAATCACAAACAGTGATGCATTATTTGTACTGAATTCACTGGGTTACAGTGACATACGTACAGGATTCATAATAACTTCGTCATTTATATAATATAACTAACTAATTTAGTAAAAACTAATATATCAGACCTAATATATCCTAGTTGAAAAGAACTAGAGATTTCGACCATTTGCCATTTGGCTTAACAAAGTTCAAATCTATGATTCGATGATTGTAAGTTAAGAAATTGAACAATTGAGCTATTGTTCTACCATTTTGTTTTTACCACAATAGATAAAGAAAACAATACATATTATAAATTAACAGTTGATTGTTCCAACTAATAATGAAATTTAACTGGATAATAGTGACTTACAAAAAGTAAACAAGTAATGTAAGAGGGACCAAGCGTGAATAAATACAAGAACATAGATCAACAAGTGGTTTGGAAAATGTTTTATTTTTATGCAGCAAAGTAATATGCACTAGCTTTTATATTGAAACTGAACAGAACAGACATATGTAGAAAGTATTTAAAATATAAGAGACCGTAAGACAAGGTTCGTTGTGTGAATTTTTCATCAACTCATAGACTAATTTATCTGACTACAAAGTTCATTTTCTCATTTTGAATATCAATTCCATTTTGAAAAACATCTTTTCCAAATCATAAATTGGGTGTTATTTTACTATAAAATTGAAAAACATAAAAATACCAAATGAAGGGTTGCTCAAGATCATGGGTTGATTGAAATTAGACATTACCACTGTTGGATGCCTCCTCAGTGGTCTAGCGGTTAAGCGTTCGCGTACGAGACCAAAGGTCCTGATTTCGAGTCCCGCATGTGGGATAGTGGATGCGCACTGCTGAAGAATTTCATACTAGAAGCAAACGGCCGTCCAGTGTTTCCAGGTTTTCGATGGTAGTCTAGCTTACATCGACTTATGAATTCAACTATTAAAATACCAAATAAACAATTTGTAGAAATTTGAATGGAGTTAACGAATACAGAAACCTTTTTCTAGTAAGAATATTACCCCGGAATTCTTGATCCAGGGAGAAAAATAACTACATATTCGTGAATTGTCCTGATAACTTTTCCATTTATTATTTTGTTACAATAATTATCTATTCTGTAGTAATCAGCGTTGAATATTTTACATATTCTCAAGTCATTAAAGTACAGCTAAAATTCTCTTTAACCCTAACATCTGCACTCTCTTTCTTATCTCAATATAATTGGGTAGTTTAGTAACATGTTTTACTGGATATTTAATAATCGTTTTCTAAAGTGCTGTATTTATCTGTCACATACCTTTACCATCCTCAGGTTATAGTTTATCGTCTATGTGTTATTCGAGAATAATGATTGGTTGTTCAAGTTTATTTGTACGTTGACTTGAGTTATTATAATTACTATTTTTTTTCGAATCAGACACCCTTTTCATTCATTCTAACTTTTTCATTTTTTTTTCCTATAATTGAATTTCAAGCAGTAAATACTAATGGAAACAGAAGGATTGGAAAACGAATTAATTCAATCAATTCGACCTAGTTTAAATGAATTATTACGAATATGGGATTATGTGGGTGAGATATGTTGTTGTCTTCGTAATTTCCTAGAATTCATTTTTGCTTTGTTTTTCTTATCAAATGTTGTATAACAAGAATTCTTTACTTCCTCTGAAATACGTGTGTTTTAAAGAAGTAACTCCATTCATATATAAAAACTTTATGTTAAATGAGTTTTCTCCCCATTTTTTGCTTTAATATTTCTGCGCATCGATAAGACTGTGTAAGTTGGTTGGAATTCTCATTTCTCCCTGAGAAAACTAAAGATTAAACTCAATGTAAGGACAAATGCTTTTGAGTATGAAATCTGTAGAGAAATAGGATGTATGCAAAACAACTATATAATTGTGGGTTAAGTTATTGAGTCAATAACAGGGTAGTGACTATTTATCGTGAGATGTACAACTGTAATAGAGCTCTCGCTTCAATAGTACGAAAGTGCCAATATCCGCAGTTTCTTTTCAATACTGAAATTCCCAAACGTATTGATTTAATCTTCTTTATATCAAGTATATAGTCAAATTATGGCATGAGCGCACATGTTTAACATTTTATGTACTTATTTCTGATATCAAACTAGGTGATTAATTAATTACATCAACTGAATTCCACGTTATGAATGATCTCGGTTGTTTCATTCAAAATCACACAGTGCCTTTGTAAAATATGAAAATCATACATTAAATACATCATTTGCACATCTTCCTTGAGTTATCTTTTAAATAATTGATCATTCTTCCAATTCTGTTGTTATTCCGATTACTCTCTGTTTTCCTTAATTCAGTCTTCTGCTAGTAAGTATTACACTTCCGATTCCTTCTACATACTACTAATATCTGTCCTCATAAGTAGCACCCACCACAGTGGTGTTCACTTCACATAATCTTATCATTTTCAGTACATTATTCTATATTGAAGTATAAATGTATGGATTACTGTTATTTCTTGAAAATCAATCCCAAGTAAGTAGGTTTTTCAATCATTGATATATTTTTGAAGTATTAGTAGATAAATTTTAATCAATCTCATTCTCACATCCTATCAACCAATAAATGTATTGTGGCCATTCAACCAAATGACATGACATTAAACACTTCTTTATTGGGATTCAAGATGTTATTCAGCGACTTGTTATGGATGTTTAGACTTAAGTCTTATGCTATTTAGTGTACTTTAGGTAAGAGAACACCTGCAATATTATATGTATTGAAAGTTTTACACTCCTTCATACATCACACAAGATCTTAATCAAATACTCACTGATATTTTTCATAAGTAGTTTGTATGAACTTGAGGTATATATATATATATATATATATATATATATATATATATATCACCAAAACACATTTGTGTAATCTATTTGATAATTCAATCGCTCGATATTTAACCGATTGTTAGAATTTGAAGCCCTGTTTCCAAACAATTCATGTTAGCCAGCTAGTCAGTATCACAACCTTTTATATACAAACAATTTGACTCAAATTTAGGCACATAAACTTATGCATGGTGAGGGGATGATCCTATTGATTTACAATATTCCAGAGCATAAAGGTATCTTATATTCAGTGGTTAACTTGCCTCAAGCTTGTATCAGGACTCTTTTGGATTATAGTTCTATTTTATCTTGTGAATATATATATATATATATATATATCTTGTAATAGTGTTTTTTAGTATTAGTTGTTACTATTATTATTAATTTAAAAAATTCATCATCCAGGTTATAATAAATTGGAACGTTCACAACGTCTAAAACATTTTGTTCAAAAACTTGAAACTGTTTTATGCGAAGTAATTAAAGAAGAGAATTCTGCACGTCTTATGATGGAACAAAAAATTGAATTAAGACGTAGAGAAATCGCTGATATGTGTCAACAATTAGGTTTGGCACCATTCCTACCTGAACGTGGACTTACTTCCAGTGAATTAATGAGAGTACGTATGTTGATCTTTTCTTTCATTCTGTATTATCTTGTTCCCAAATTTCTTTACTAATATGAGAGACTTTTCTTACAGTTTGATTGAATAATCGATTTGAACTTCAGCAAGAAGCTGGATTCCATCCTTCTATGGCTAAAACAGATTTTAAGTAAATTGAACAAACACTGTGCGATGATAATTTTTAGAATAGCTGGAAATAATTTTGTAAAAAGATATCCCGAATTCTATACACTAGATTACATATAAATAATAATACCATAAGGTCCATGAAGAGGACAATAACTGCCTTGATGAAATACTTGTCGTTTGCATTTCCTTAACAAGAAAAAAATATAGTTTTCTTGAAAACCTAGTGAAAAACACTGCTTTAAACACATGCTTACTAGGTTTGCATTTTAATAACACTTAACATTCTATGAAGCGTAGGTATATGTCTAGCTGACAAATGGTTGTATTTTAGGTCGATATACATGTTAAAATAAGTAAGGTAGTAACTAATCGATAATAGTGAATTAGAATCGTTCTATATCACCATATATTAAATTAAATCATCGAATATCGACTTAATGATCCCGTGTGTGCCCAGTGAACTTGAGAAAAATTTTGATTTACTATCTCCTATGGACTGAAGAGCGCTTTTTGGGAAGGCTCCTTTTTGTGGGATTGACTTGCTCAACTCCTCTTTATCCGGGCTTGGAATCAGCAGTAACATCAGAACTCCAGGCGGAGGTACAGGTATTTATAATCAAATTTCTGTGAGAGATCCGTTGGCTGGATTCTATCAGCAATAACCTACTACGGGAGAGAACGAACCAGCTTCCAACTGAAGAGGAAATCAGGAAAAGATGCTGGGGGTGGATAGGACATAGATTGCGAAAATTAGCAGATTGCTCCACGAAGCTAGCCCTAACCTGGTATTTTCAAAATAAAAGTAAAATACAGAGCAAAGAACACAGTGCGCTAGGAAACGGAAGCAGACATCAAAACAATGAACAGCTCTTGGGAAACACTGAAAAGGAGAGCCCAGGACAGAGTTGGTTAGAGAATCCTGGTGGGTATCTGATATCCCACGAGGGGTAACAGATGTATGTGAAGTAATTGATGAACGGATCAATGCGTACATTGCATAGGACTTTAAAACGTATGCGACTATATAGGTAGGTCTTGAGTGCTCAACTGTTTTCAGTGTTCCTCCAAGTGATATCAATTCATGATAGGAATTACCTCTGAAATTACACAAATTCTCTACTAAATCACTGAACTAGTTAACTTATTCTCTTGTAAGAATCGGTGACAAGATATCAACACATAATCTAATCATAAACTTAATATTCAATAATTGAATTCATGAGACAATACTCATTATCAATCATTATAAATTAATGTTGTTTAAATTGGATTTGATTAAACCCCTACTTTTTGTATGTGTTTAGATGTAATTTTATTTTTTATTGTATGTTTGCATTTTGCAGTATTTCAGCCTGTTTGTTTTCTTAATAAGCTACTTATATTATATACACATATATGGTTGAATATCAACAGCAGTCCTCATCAATTATCTTCATCGATTGATTCTCACTGGTGATTCTGTTTTAACAACTTTTTAATTGTTAGAAATCGACTATATTTATTCATTTGTTTATTCGGACAACATAATGGTTTTGTATGTGACATTGTCTAAATCGATAGTATTTATCATAAGTTAAAGGTCAATTATATATTTATAGAGTGTTTATTTACAGTTGTTTTTGTTGCATAAATCTGATTAAGAAAGAAGTGTTGATATTCCTAGTGATATATTTGTACACCGTTCTCTTGTGTACAAATCTCCTGTATTTCATCCTTGATTTGTGGATGATTTCTCTTCTATCGAAAAAAAAATGCTGAAATGAGAATTTTTAAAAAATTCAAATCCATTGTTGTTATATTTTAGTGAAGATTAAATTACAGGTAACTTTCGAGGACTATCAATGGACTAATATTCTATAAATATTCTTATTGTATAATTATTAAACAATTAGATTATGTATATTTATATTTCTCTTATTATAAGCTTCATTTTGATCTATAATTTGTTATTATACGATTTACTGTCTCTAAATTATGCTCAGTTTATTAACTACTGCCTCCAACGTTCGCAGCCACTTTTTGGCTTTATTGTGTACAAATGTTATTTCCTATTTTATGGTGCGTTGTAGTCTGTTTGGTTGATATGTCTGAAATATGTCTAAAATAAATGATTCGATTCGATTCACATAGTGGAAGCTGGTACTGGTGTTCTGGACTCAAGTGGACAGGCTAGGTGGACATAGGTCCAATTAGGACGCTGAGCTGCTCATACCGGTCGAACGTCATTGTTTTGGCACAGTGCTAAGATTGTATAAGTCGTATGTTGATTGGTGGGTAGGTAACGTGATAAAAGCCGGACATAAAGTTATAAGAATTGTCGTTCCGCAACAACTTATTGATATATTAGTAGAATACTTTATTCCGTGTCCTAGACAGAAGTTAATACGTCCAGATATATTTTCTATTTATTGAAACATTTTATGTAATGTATAAATTCAAATCACTCACATCAACTTGCAAAAGTATATTAAGAGTTATTTACCTTTAAAATATCAGTGAATAAATATAAACACTAATCAAGTGTTTACACAGGTGACTTAACAGCAATATATATATATATATATATATATATATATATATATATATATATATATATATATATATATGAAAATGGCTGTTACCATGATCTTGCTGTCTGTATGATTGATATCAGTTCACTAATCAAACTATTTTTTAACTAATTTATATTTGAACAAGTAGTTTCACGAAGGTTGAACGCTGAATACGTAGAAGTCAATTAGTGGTGCGATGGTTCAGTAGATAGGGCGTTCGACTTTGATTCAAAGCTGTAGGTTCACATTCCACCCCACTTACTTCAGTTTGGACGACTATTTAGTTTCACTAGCCCCTTAACATTTAGGCTGTGATTTGAAGTTAAGTACCTGCATACCTGGTAAATGAGTGAGTTAAGGTTAACATTTAGAAAACATCATGTATGAAAGTACATCCGTAAAACATCCACCGCTTAAAACTAAAAAGACTGCAACATTTTTAATTCTGAGATCACTTAAATTTATCAATTCGACAACTGTTCAAAGTATTATTAAGTGTTAAGAAATTTTCCGCATAACAATCTCAAAACTCAAGAATCACTGAAAATATTTACCAGTCTACATTGATCATTTTATCTATCATAAAATGTCCTAACTGTGTGTGTGTGTACAAAAATTTCATATCAGAATTTCAGTCGAAAGTTTTCTGATCTCTTATTAGAACTTTTAACGAATCAATAAGATACTACATTGTACAGTTGTCATGTCTAATGCTATTGGTTTATTATCTTCATAATTTTCTTTAGATTTTTTACATGATTTATCCCAAATATTTCAGTATTTTTAATTTATAAAAAGCTTAAATTACATTCAACATCTAATGGGAAACAATATTAGGATCATTCAATAAAACATTATAGATATAAAACTGGTAACATTGACACCTAAAGTAACTGTATACTTAAAGTGATTTCTACATTCCACATATGCCAATAACAAACTGATCAATTGCAGTCTTAAACCTTATTGGGAAGATACAAGCCAAACAATACCAAATGAATTTAAATTCACCGCATTGCACAAGCAAGTGGCTATCAGGATTCAGTAGCTGAGTGGATAACGCGATGGCGTTTGAAGCGAATGGTACTGGGTTCGAGTCCCAGAGTGAACATCAACTCTGAAATGCCAGTACATCTAGCTGACGAATCCCAAATAGGACAAAACGCGCGTCCTGGATTCCACTACTAGCCACTATCCATCATTGCTTACAAAAACATTATTGATATTGCTTGAAATAAATATTGTTTTAATTCTAATTCACATATATACTGATTGTTTGAATCTCTCCATTGATGTTTACGACAGGAATTAATACTGGACTGGAGTTCCATAGTGAACATCCAGCTGAAACGCTCGTCCTTTACTGCTAGCCACCGTTCATCTCTGCTTAAATATTGTTTTAGTCATTAAACATTATTAAAATCCTTTGTTTTTCTTTTCAACCTAATAAGTTTGATCACTTGCAGTAACTAATGGTTTAAAAGTGTTATCATATGTAATATGCATATCCATTGCTAAGTTCAAATCATTAAATGAGCTGGAAATAAGAAAGAGTTGAAGAAACTTCAGGTCAAGACATTTTGGCGGCTCATTTGATTTATATATTGAACAAAAAAGTTATTGATCAAGATCTATATTTACTGGTTGATATGATTCAAAAATGACCTAGGTGAATGTTGTTATGTTTAATATTTATTGTACTTTAAGTTAAATGAATTCCTTATTGATTTTAATTTCTTTCCTTTTATCCTGTTTTCATGTTTTCGTCTCTTTTTATCTGTTCTTTTTGACGAGTGTTTTTATTTCTTCTCACTGTATTTTTGCTATATGGAAAGAGGATTTATGGAAAATTGAGCTCACGAAAGTTATTGTACCGAGAATTATGGTGTATATTTTTATATGGTTGAAATATTGTATTTTTGTCTTCTTTTATCTGTCAGTTTTTTTTATTGACCTATCAGTCGTTGTTGTATGTCTTACTGTCGCAGATTTATCGCTAATTATTTCGTTTATGCATCGCTTATGACTGAGCTATGTGTACATTGCAATTTCCTAATTGTGTTACTACGCGGTCACTTACTAAGATATATTATTGTGTGGCTTTTCATTCATGCGTGAACAGAGTACAATGGAGAATTGATCTACTTGTTATCTTAATCTTGTGATTAGAAGAGGCCAATTAGTTTTTAGATTCTCTAGTTATTATTCATTGTTAGTGATTCGTTCCTTCAGAAGTTACTGGTTTTATTAGCAATTTAGGCGAATAAGCAGTAATCGGGCTGGATAGTATAACTGCTACCATAATAAATAACCCGATCACAAGTCTGTACAAATCAAGAATCTGTTTTTTTAAGATACGACGATATTTTGAGTTGGGCCATTTGAATCGGCACGTTACCACGCCCAGTCCTACGTTTTTTTTCATTTGTCACCTTTAAGGTTTGTCCTCTTTCTTTCTCTCTCTCTCAACCTAATGAATTTTGACTATCGAACCCTTCTTTTTGAGATTCTTCGATTGTATTCTCAACAATAGATATTCCCTCTAATCAATTATACGAATGTATACAAAATCGATGTCTTCTCATGTCGTATTCCTCCCTCCGTTATAACGTGTCTATTTAATTAAATTTGAAAGTCTCAACACGAATGTATTTCATTAGAAAATAGTCCTTTTCATAAAATTTATCCCCCACTCTATTTTGTCTGTCATTGTTAGTCATTGGATGAAAAAGCGGAAGAATTAATTCAGCAAAAAAGTGCCCGATGTGAACGTTATTGTTGGTTACGATCGAAGATATTACATTTAGATAATTTATTGGGTGGTGACCAAATATCGGATATTACAAAACATAAGCTTGATATAGATTTTCACACTACCTTCCCACCGATTATAAAATTTTTTGGACAATCGAATTGTATTGATCAAAATAACACGGATAAAAATGGTCATTCAGATGAATATGAAGTTTAGATCCTTCGCTAATTTGTAAGTGTATTTTTGATTTCTTTTTCTCCTTATACTTATTAGTGATTTAATCGTGAACACGTTTAGAATAATAACTAAATTTAGGAAAATTGTTCTTTGAATATTGATTTCATCTGAAAATTTCAGAAAATAAAAAAAAACATTCAGCAGGCGTGTAGTTACAGTCTAGGGCTTGTCAGCACTGTATATCATCAATCTCATGAAAGATTGAATCTGGGTCTTTTGAAGTCACGCTGCTGTGTATACAACCTCTTAATTTATAAAGTTTCTGTCCAGTTGGATAGTAGGCATTATGAACTTTTTGTAGTGTGCGTAGCTTCGTTAAACCTTAACCATGATAACCGTTAGTACGGGGGACCCCACGGGATTGAATTTAGAAGGCGATTAATAGTTGCAACTACATTTTATTAGCTGATCGCGCGGACCACAAGATTACAAACACAGACGGATTTGAAGCGAAAAGACCAACGAATCATTGCAGGCGAATGTAAAGGAAAATTTATTGTCATACCAAATAAGGCAAGGCGAATTGAATTACAGTTTGTTTTTATAATACAAGGACATATATATGAGGGATAGATAATAAGACATTGAGCTGTATTTAAGCAATCAATATTTGAGTTAGAGAGAAATATGCGTAGGTCGTAAAAAACATTAAAATATACATGTTTACGTAGGTACAATAGCGATTCTACTAATACAAAGAAACAAACGAATCGTCACTATATCGATGACATTGTATCTCAGATGAAAGGATCTGACAGGGATTAACGGTTATCAAAATTAATTGTAAGGGTGTTACTAAAATATAAAACTCTGAGATCCTAAATCGTGAATGTCAAGTGCTTTTCTCAAGCGTGAACACTCTGAATAAATTATCCGTCAATTTAAGTCACAGAATTATAATACACAATGCAATTCAATTAACTGAATTATGAACGTCCATTGAATGTAGTGTTAGAAACTGGCTAAGGGAACGTGTATCATTCATTCTATTTGTTTGTTTACCTATTCAAACAACTTAATTTGAATGAACTTATGAATTATTCATCTATATTAGTCTTCAATAGTTGAAATTACGAGTCAATTGAAGCTAGACCACCATGGAAACCTGGAAGCACTGGACGGCCGTTTCGTCCCAGTATGGGACTCCTCAGCAGGTTAAGCGCTCGCGCGCGAGACCGATAGATCCTGGGTTCGAATCCCGCGTGGCGGAATCGTGGATGCGCACTGCTGAGGAGTCCCATACTAAAACGAAACGGTCGTCCAGTGCTTCCAGGTTTTCCATGGTGGTCTAGCTTCAATTGACTCATAATTTTAAACTATTGAAATCACTAAAATCTCCACAAACCCCTTCTGATATATTAGTCTTATCCGAAAAATAGACTAAGTTGTTTCTTTTGCATCCTTTTTCAGAGTATTTGTCAGTTCATAGTTTTGATTCACATTATTATTACTAAAAGTTTTTACCTCCTTGAGGAGTAAAGTAAACAAACTTTGTACTACCTAATGGTACCATAACACTTGTCTATTAGCTTCTAAATTAATTTATTTGATGTTTCGATATAAAGTATAATTGATCAGTAGATGATGGTATTATCCAACACTCCACAGACTAGAATATTGAAATATGAATATGAGCGAAACACACCGTCTTGTATGACAGTCTACCACTTAAAAAAACGAAATATCAACACTTTACTATGCTGAAGAATGTCATATTGTATTTCTTTTTAGTTTTGTAATACAATTACATTATTTTTCATTATTTTATTTTTGCCAAAGGATCAAATGCTATTGAGTATTAAATTAATTGTGTTCATTTGTTTCATTCTGCTATATAGTACTTACAATTTATGGTATTTGTGATTGACCAACTCAATCATTTGCTAATGTACTGGTTTTTATGTTTAGATTTAAACCACACTATCTGTGTAGGGCGTCAGTGATACTATCTGGTTATGTAAATCGAAGTGGGTAGTATAAAATTTGAATTCTCTACTCATTACTTGAAAGCTGAGTACTTTAACCACTAATGCACCATTACCACTCATTAATAATGGTTACTTAGATCTTAGGTAGAGTTTATGTTTCAAGTTAATAATAATAATTATTATTATTTGATACCAAACACTTGAGTACAGTAAATAAATCTAAATTACAAATACGCCATCTTGAAAAAGCTATCTCTCTAACACATTCAAATTGTGAGATTATTCAATAAATATTGAAAAAAAATTTTTCACAGTCGATATATTCTACCCGTATTCAATAGTCAAAGTTTACCACCAGCTCACCTGTTGTTATTATTATTATTATTTCCTATATGTTACACGACATTTCTGTTTTTATTTCCTAATAAATATGATATTCTATTGTGTTGTTGTTTAAGCACAAATACATTATTAATGTTAGTAAGTAATGTGATATGATTTTGAATAGTGATAATAATAGTAATAAACTTGTGACTCATTTACTGAGTTGAATAAAAGTTAATGTACTTAACATTAATAAAGTATACATAACTAAATTGGACCACAGAATAAAACAGCTGTACAGTTATGTTGCGCACTTCCCACAGTAACTAAACGAATATGTAAAATGTGAAGTCTGGAATGAACAAGAATATATAATACCTAGACCCAAATCAGTATATACACAACTAATTGGCGTATACCTACATCTCACCTACCATTTAACATTGGACTAGTCTGTGCGCATATGCACCTGATATATTTGGATTTGCCTAACTTATTAACTCCGTCCTCCTGAAAAATATGTCTATCTTTTCGGACTCAGCTACAAGATTTAATGTAGGCTTACATTAGGCGCTACCTGGCTATCTAAACCGAAGTTGATGTTAAAAGGTCTGAAATTGTAGCCTGATGATCGATAATTAAGCGGTTTATCCAATAATTTACCTCTATGCAATTTTTGACAACACAAAATTATCTCGAAAACCTAGAAGCATCTAACGGTTATTTTGTCCTAGTGTGAGACTCCTCAGCAATCCATACTCATGACCCTGCACGTGGTAATCGAACCTCAAGACCTATCTAACTGGCAAACGCTTAACCTCTAGACTACTGAGTTAGCATCCAATAGTGTTAAGGTCTAATTCCAATCAATCCACTATAACACAACCCTCTTCCATTGTCTTCGGTGGGCAACTGCTTCATACCCCGATATGGTTGAACACCACTGGTCACGGCTTCTCACTAGAACACCTGCAGAATCGTAGGTATAAACTGAAGGGGATCCTCATACCAGCATGAGACGGCTGTCCAGTACTTTCAGGTTTTAAAAGGTAGTCTAACTTAGATCAGCGCAGGATTTCAATGAAATTCAATAATCTTCACGACCTTATACTTTCTATTAAATAGTTAATAAGCTTATTTTGGAACTGTTTTCTGCACAAGTTTAAACCACTCATTTTACCAAACAGTTGAATCTTACAGTCTTTTTCACTATTCCATGACATATAAGCCGTATCTTTCTCTTAGTGTAGGTTTATTTTGGACTTTGGTAGTCAAATGATGAATGTTATTCGATGATTAACATTCGGACATGGCCGCTAACTGGAAAATCTTAATGTCATGTTGATTTTCATGTGAATAATTTTCGAAAGAAAAATACTCAGAAAACAACAACCACGAATTTTCGGTCAGTTCTTAGCCAATCAAAGAAACGGCTTTTGTAAATGAATAGTTTATGAAAAAAATATATTGAAGTGTTAACAGATTTTACATAATCAATTTAGTAAAGTCTTTCGCAGGTGATTCTCCTGCCAATCGGAGAAAAACAACGATATAAAAACGTTCTTATGGATATAGGTTGTTTGTCTTCTCGAACATTTAAAAGGACCAAAATATATTATTAAGGGTCTTTACATTTTTCATAGTTGGAGTTAGGAATGGAGGTTGAGGGTAATATTTTTTGTCATGAACTGACAGATATTATACAGAAAGTCTGTGTAAGCATATGGATAAATGAATTTCACTCAAAAATCCAAGAGATAAAATATAATTGGTTCGTACATAAAAGTACAACTCCAATAGGTTAAGATTTGTGTCAGTAAATAAATGTTTCGAGTTAGGTTTCAGAGATAGATTTGATTTGCCTATGATTTACAATTTACAGAAAAAGAACTGAACATTTAACACGTTTAACAATATCATTTTTAACCCTATGCTTGCAAGAAAAGTATATTTTTGTCATCATTCTAAACGTTTTGAGCAATATACAAAGATATTTCTACTGTTTATTGAACGTGATATTTGAATTTCGCGCAAAAAAGAATTAAAATCCACGCTCTTCATTCTGATTGTCTAGTCTGTATACTATACGTTTATGTAATATCATTGTACAACGGTGCACCTGTTTTATTCATGTCTTTTAAAGATATCATACTGAACATCCAGTTATGTACTTTTCTTCTATTTTCAATTATTTGTTTTCCATGGTTTCATCACACTAGAATCAATTCTAAATTACGATTGATCGGTATCTATGGCATTTTTTTTTTAAAAAAAAATCTATTTTTCTCTTATTATTATTTTTTCAATCATTAATGATGACAGATTTTTATGCATGTATTTATTGTCGTTTTTATTTCCATAAGAAAACATGACACTTACCAATTGAATTTTCCAGACCACATGATGATAATCAGGTTCTTTATTTGTAAATTTTAGCATAAGATATATGGTTACTTCTTTTACCAAACATTGGTGATTAATTTAATCATGAATTGATTACTATTTAAATAAAGTTCTATAGCGTGGCTACAAATGGAATCTAGGACATAAATTGCATCTTTTGTTTTTACGGATGACTTAATTGATCAATGTATTGGAAATAATAATAATAAATGTATAATAGTGTCCTGTTGAAATGAAAGAATGAATTAATAAACAGTCTGTCTCTTTATTATATAACACTCATTAGTTTGTTTTTATGTTTAAAATTGTTAGTGATAGGCTTGATAAATAAAATCTTGTAGTTTCCTAAGTTCATCTATTTACTTTTCACTAAACTTTCAGCATGAATTGAAATTGGTTAGATAAAAAAAAGAATAAAAATTCAGACTAGCTTTTGCCAACTTGCGTCATTTATGGCGTGGGCGAGATATCCGTCTATCAACCAAAGGACGGGTTTACTGCGCAGCAGTTCGTTCCGTCCTACTTTATGGCAGTGAAACATGGCCGGTAAGAGTAGAGGATATTCGTAGGTTACTAGTATTTGATCATAGGTGTCTTCGAAATATTGCTCGTATACCCTGGAACCATCGAGTAAGTAACGCAGTTGTTAGGAAACGGGTACTAGGTAAGGATGGCAAATCAATTGATGACATAGTGAAACTTCATCAGTCGAGATGGCTGGGACATGTGCTACGTATGCCCAACCACCGACTGCCTCGATGTGCGATGTTCATTGGTATAGGAGTGTAGGTTGGAAAAAAGCTAAGGGTGGCCAGACCAAAACATGGCACAAATCCATGAAGTCACTGACAAGTTAACTGAGCCATGTTGTTAGGTGTAAACTACCTGGTTGTGATGCGCGAGATGATAGCAACCGATGGTTAGAGACCTTGAATGACATGGCTCAAAATCATTTACAATGGTGAAGGTGCATCTACCATTTGTGTTCTTCCAAATTTTAGTTTTCTGTATTTTTTATTTCCCTTTTCTTTTTCTCTTTCCAAACTTATTTCACTGTATTATACTCCTTGAATAACATCTTCAAACCCCAATCTTTCCGATTACTGCTCATACTTTTACTAAGGGATTTGAATCGACAACTGTATCTGACTGACATTGATATTCGTCAAAATTTAAGAGAATAATTTAAAAGAATTCGGACGCCGATTATAAAGAAATTAATTACAATGTAATATATATTTGAAATAATCTCAGTTATTATATTACTGAAGAATCTTAGACTCGTTTGCCGAGTGAACTACTGAAATTATCTAAACTTCAATCACTGAAACTGTATCAAATATAGTATTTACATTAAACACTGAATTACTGTTGGCATTCTTGAATATATGTGATTGAATTCAAATGTCTATCAATGCTCTTTGTAGCCAGATATTCATCTAAAATGTACATCTATCCACATTTAATTTGATTTATTTCACTGGTGAAAGTTTGTTATTTAAAAATCAGATGGCTAGTACAAATGTTTTATTATGTAATTAATGCTACTACGAAGTCCCACTTCATGATGTCACGTCAGTTGATTGAGCGTTCTGCAATCATTGTATATTACCCTTAAGGATTGACCATCCATACGTACATAGCTTATCAGAATCCATAGTTTGGTGCAGCTCATCTAATTAAGGTCAACCGATTTTATCTCGAATCAGTAGTGGTATGATATCCAAAGTAATATTGTTATCTTTTATTTTAAATTCATTCAATTTGGTCGGCAAACTGTTGATTATTACTAGGAAATCTTAAAATGGTTGATTTTGTCATATATGTTTATCATATTATGCAAGGGGCTTTTGTTTAACTAGTAGCTTCTTAACTTCGACCTTTAATATGTTTACTTGGGATTTCGAATTAACTTACACTTGTTACCCCTCGTGGAGGAGAAAAGACCGCCAACCGGCATTCTCCACCTCATTCTGTCCTGGACAATCCTTTCCAGTTGTTCCCACTTACCATTCATCCTTTTGATGTCTGCTTCCCATTCTCGACACAATGTTTTCTTTGGTTTTCTTCTCCGTTTCCCTCATGATTCCAAGTTAGTGTTTGCTTCGTGATGCAGTCGGATGGTTTCTGTAATGTGTGTCCTATCAAGTTCCAGCGTCTTTTACTAATTTCTTCTTCAGCTGGAAGATAGTTTGTTCTCACCCACAGAAGTAAAGAGTGTTCATAAACTAGAACGGTTTGGATATGTTGCGCATATCCCGCTGTTTCGTAACTCAGTGTACTATACCGCATAGGTTAGAGACTATGCGTAACAAAACAAGACTGTCGACTTATTCTTCTCACATAATTGTAGGGACCTCGTTCAATGTCAGGAATACAACTGCAATCAATGGTAAAGTACTTTTTATATTATTGGGTCGAAATCGGTTGCAACAATGTGGATACATTTACTCTATATTTTTTTATGTTCTACAATGATATTTGTTTCACATCCTACACTTCTCTAGTTCTACAGTTTTTTACAATCACCCAACGTAAATAAGCTAATTTTACCAAGAATACTAGGCTGTACAACTTTTGACCACATTTCTATGTACATGAACTGATTGTTATTCAATAACTATTATGAAAAGTTTTCTCTTCCTATTACGTGTACATATCTGTTTCATAATGTCCTTTTTATTTAACCTTATTCAGCGTCTATTCAAACATTACCAGATCAAATAAATATTGAAAAGCTTACTAAAATTTATGAAGAACTACAATCAATTTATACACCTTTAGCTAATCAACACGCTGCACTTCGTGAAGATATTGCTCGTGTCGCAGCTGATATTTTCTATCAACCACAATCAGATAAAGAGGCTGAAATTTTAACGATTGTTGGATTAAAACACTTATGCAAAAATGGTAATTCAATTTCAACTCCTGGTGTAGTCAGACGAGCTAATGATGAAACAAATTGTGTTATGCCTATATCTACACCTAGTGAAAACTCAGAAGTCACTACAAATGGTTTAGATGATAATCATGATACATATGAACCTGTTGTAAATAAAGAGATACTTAGAGTAAGTAAATATTGTGTATTTGGTTCGAGTTTTTTAAGAATTTATTTTCAAGTTATATATTCTCTCTATTGAATGAAAGATTCTGATGCTGGACATAGAGTACCTGTTGTGCCTTTATGTCCAGCTTTTTATCACGTGATTAATCCACCAATCAAAATACGACTTATACAATCTTAGCACTGTGCCAAAACAATGACGTTCGACCGGTATGAGCAGCCTAGCGTCCTAATTAGTCCTATGTCCACCTAGCCGTCCACTCGAGTCCAGAACACAAATACCAGCTTCCACTATGTGAATCGAATCGAATCATTTATTTCAGACATATTTCAGACATATCAACCAAACAGACTGCAACGCACCATAAAATAGGAAATAACATTTGTACACAATAAAGCCAAAAAGTGGCTGCGAACGTTGGAGGCAGTAGTTAATAAACTGAGCATAATTTAGAGACAGTAAATCGTATAATAACAAATTATAGATCAAAGTGAAGCTTATAATAAGAGAATATAAATATACATAATCTAATTATTGAATAATTACACCATAAGAATGTTTAGATAATATTAGTCAATTATTATGTTTCAGAAGTTACTCGTGATTTATTCTTCGCTCGGATATAACAGTACTGTTAAGTAAAAGTAGAGCAATGGCCTTGATGTTAAGCTGTTCACATTTTGACTATCAATTCTCAAGTTCATACTCTGCAACCGAGTACTGTTATTAACTTTCATACTTAGAATGTGGCTCATACCTAATTACCTGATGAATGATTTAATCAACAAATTGTAATCAATTCATGATATATTGGTTAGTAAGATTTTGTAACTTCAACTGATTAAACTAATTAAATCATGTTATTCTTCATACATCTGGCTAATATCTACATCGCAATCTACTCTTTTGTCCAGTAAGTTTGTCAATACTATTACAATCCTACCGAGACATCTTACTAGTTCATAAGGTCAATAACTTGAAATAATCATTATTTATAATTTATGAAAAGCAAAAGAATTGGTCACTTGTCTCATGATTATAAATTTATTCTTTTAATGTAAAACTTTATTTAATTCAGCCTATTCATGTATATGGCATGTTATTTTCATTGTTTATAAATATCATCTATGATAATCATTTTATTTTCAAATCATTAACCTAAAAAAGTTTACAAGATATTTTTCACATGGATTTTAATATTGTTCAAATAAAACGTTTTTTTTCTCTCTCCTTCTCTCTAAATAATTGTGTACTATTAGAGTTATGTATAATAATACACATGGTAATATGTAGTGTAAAAATCTGTCTTAATATCATCCATACATTTCTAGTAATAATGAATAATATATAACTATCAGTATGGGTTCGAATGGCGGTGAGCGGGGTCGTGAATGCACATTGCTGAGGAGTCAGTCCCACAAAAGGGCGAAACGGACATCCAGTGCTTCCAGGTTTTCAATGGTGGTCTAACATCAATCAGTTCATGATCTCAATAAAAAAACGATTAATATAATTGCATGAATTAGTTGGACTATAAGTGTTTTTCTTGCTGTAATCCATCTGACTGAAAGCTGATAAACAGTTAGTCAGTGAATGAAAGAGTAATACACACAAGTAAAAAATAAGAAAGAAACAGTTTTTGAATAGAAAGGATATATCAAGGATAGTATCAAAAATCATGGTTTAACACCAACTGGTCCAAATCTTCACAAATTGACTAGTCTAGCATATTAGTTAGGACTATCAATATTGAAGTATTTCTTGAGTACTGTTAGAGGTATGATGATTATAGTTTTCTGGTTCATCTTGAGGGACATTAAAAGGAAACTGGGTTTGGAATAGTCTTGGTAACCTGCGAGACTGACTGCTGGGCCCAAGAGATAACGGATTGAGACTCATGGCAAGTGGTATTTGTGATGTGCAAGCTCATACTTTTCAGATATTACCGTCATCAACAGAAGTATATGAGTCAAGGTGAGGTTTACTACTCTTACAATCGACATGTCCTAATGCTCTTCCTTACTCTCTGAGAATGCAGCATCTCTCTAGATGCAAGTTATCTGAGATAAACTTCTTACTATCATAACACCTCTGTACGGTTAGGAGTAAAACCTTACTTCCAGACTTTTAGTTTGCTGCTTTTAGCCCTACTGCTCTTCAACCAACCTTTAAATAATTGTAGGATCTGAATGAGCGAATGTTTCATCCAGCATAGTTCAGTCAAGTCATCATTATATGTAAGATACAGTTGGGTGAAATCTGTTTATATTTTGACTGAAATTAATCAGCAATTCGTCTCTGAAATATACCATTCTACTTAAAAATAAACTATAAATGTTTTATTACCGCGTAAAAATGTTAACATAATTGTATCAACTCAAATTATTTGACGTAATCTTTGTGTGTTAGTATTGTTTATCGATTTTCACATAGTCTTATTTTCCAGTTAATTAGTGAAACAAGTATTTTCTTTTTTCTTGATATCTATTTTTTCATTACTGTCATCATTATCTTAACTAGATTACAGGTCCAGTTGCTTTTGTCATTCAGTTGAATAATGACAGTAATAATAGTCGTAGTAGTGGAAAAGACTGAGTAAAGAAAAAAAGTACGAAATGATTTCAATATTCAAGACCTAAGACGATCCAAATAATGAATACATTTATGCTATAACGATCGATTCTGAATTACATTATTTAATATTTCCAATCACTGGTTAAAATATTCACACCGACTCCCAACCAGACAGCCTGTACCTACCTACCTAATGAATCATTTCAGCATTCAATGATCTCATGAACTGATATCAAATTTTAGTTTGACAAACCCTAATTTATATTTTAGTCTAATGCTATACCAGACAATAACATTATTTTTTTTAATGATGTAATGGCTTAGTTTCATATTCTAACTTATTCCCTTTATGATATGATCATTTCGATTCGTTTAAATCAATTTTTTTCTTTTAACATTTAATTCATAATATCTTAAGTTTGCTTTCTAAATATAACAGAACAACAATAGTACAATAAATTGTTTCGTCATGTATTTTAAGGATGAGTGAAAAATTTTGTTAGCCTAAAATTAACAACATTGCATATCTTTTTTTTGGGGGGGGGGTCCCCATGCATATGTTTGAATTAGTAATGGAGATCTTTTATTGTAGTGAACAAGAACACCAATGGGGACAATCGAATGTATTTGACACAAAATTAACAGAACTTGGTAATAAAATCTAACAATCATAAAGTAAATGCTTAATTTGCAAAATGTCCATCAATTGTCTCAAAATGACTTAGACTTCATTGTTCTTGCATTTTCATACAAATTTCATTCTGTTTCGATTCTTTACTGTTCTATCCTCTTGTCTCTCTGCTACCAGACCTTCTGTTCACGACTAACATATACTACTTATGTCAATATAAGTAGCACACACCACAACTGACACTAGTTTGTTCAATGTCCACCAGCCTACGCATTTGTCTCAACAATACATTTATTTGTTATATTAATGTTATAATCAGCAAGTGTTTACAATGTAGGCGTTATAAATAATAAGTTTAAGCTGTGATATTATAGATCCTTCTGTCTGTGGTGGTAATTCAATAGCATACATTGTCGATTTCTATGCAATTTTAAATGTTTCTGTATAGATTTGTAACTACTTATAAGTAAGGTAAATTAACCACAATAAATACCTCATCCACTTTTATTACAAATGAAATTTGTATGATGCGAAAATTGAATTTGTTTTTACTACAGTTATTCTTAGATTGAGACAAGTGTTTATATGGGCATATACTATTTGTCATCGTAGAGCTTAGTATTATCTGGCTTTGGATTTTAGTTGAGAAAAAATATAAGAAACCATCACATCTCATTCAGTTTTATTTCATTTAAAGACTAATTAGCATTCAGACAAAATTTGAAGATCATATTCATCACAAATTGATCTCAGTTTGGTACCACCAGAAATTGTGAATTGTTGAATAGTTGTTTTGTATGGGACTTCGTAGTAGTGCTCAAATTCTACCCCATGAAGGATAGAATCCAAAACCTTCAAGCGTATTTAACTATTAACTGTCGGGACCACTAGATCGGCGTCTAAAAATACAATTCTATCGATCTGTAATATAACACGAGTATCATACATTAGACTTAATGACAAAACTAATCAAACTGTTAGGTTGTACTTTAGTTTATAAATGTATTAACATTTTTTAAGAACCCATAGAACTTAATGAGTGAATTATTTTTAATGTAATAATAAGGGTTTGCCGTTACTGTAATTTTTACACCGAAACTATAAAAAAAAAATCTGTCTACAAGACCAATTAAATAATATAACGGTGTTTAATTTTCAGCGATCGATTATTACCTTTGTTGCGGTTACACATTGTTCTAGTGATGACCATCTTTGATTAATGTTCAAACTGACGTTGATTCACATGTATGTATGTGATTTTTCCCAAGGCTTTTACGACGAAATTTTGGTTAAAAATTGTCGACTCAAAAAATAGTGTAATTATTGACATATCTTAACGGTGTTTATTTATTCTCAGTTAAACCGTTTATGTTCGTTTAACGCGAACATTCTTAAAAACAGATCTTACAGCATATGTGCTACCAAGATTTCATTCATACAGGGTGATGTAATTCGGCGAGTTATGTGAAAATATAACTTTTGTAAATAACGTATGGGGGATTATCATCTATACTTTTACTGCATAATTAGTAAACTCTTGTGTTCTTAATTTTTGGAACCTCCTATTTGTAAGATTTCGTTTGATCCATAAACCGTTTTCACATATCTCCAGATTTAACATTAATTAAGTATTTTCTTAATACTACGGTTTTGTATATTTTATGACTGCGTTATGTACGCGTTTTAATTCTTTAATTGTATCTCTGTGTGGTCACACATTTCAGGTATATAAGTTTTAAGTCGTGATTGAATAGAGTTCAATGGAGAACTGAGCTTCTTGCTATCTTCCTCTTCCGATCGAGCACTGGTATGGAATGTGCTAGAGAACCAATAGGCGTAAATAATATTTGTCGTTATTCTTTTTAGAACTCAATAATTCCATTGATTCCATCCTATTGTCGTTGTTTTTAATATTGACAATACATCTCACATTAATTTTTAAGAGCTTTTCTTCCTGTATTCTTTTTATTTTCGTCTCTCTTCCTCTACATCTCTTTGTCAGTGGTTAACTGATTGGCGATTAAGATTAGTCAAAGAGAAAGCTCGTTTAGTTGGTACCTGCGAAGAATTAAGAGCTTATCTGCTACAAATGTGGAAACGATTAGATAAACCGGAATCAGAACAAAAAGAATTCCTGGAAATGCATTCTGGTTACAAACCCGAAACACTGGAAGCACTTCAGGTAGTCTCATTATGTTTTTATTTTATATCATGAGGTTTGCTGTTTATTACTAAGTATTTTTTTTACTTAAAAAAGAGGTGAAAAGTAGTGATCAACATACTCTGGCGCAGTTGCATTTTATAGTATATTCAGATGATCATAGAAGTTATTCATCAATAAAGAAAGATATATTTCAAATAATATTTTGTAATTATTGCGCTATAAGAATAAAATTTATTTTAAAGAACATAACCTATTTGTGAGATTGCTGTGTTTTAATTTATCCCCCATAGAAAGTGATCCTGTGTAGTCTATTTAGATATGGAATAGTATTGTGTAAAGATTACTGAATTTTCAATATGGACTGAACTCATATGGACAGTGATAGAAAACTGAAAGTATTAGTAAATATCTGTTTTATTTTAGCTTGGGATTTTTAATCAGTTTATGATTCACCACTACACATAAGAGATTGAACTAAGATCTTTCAGATTCCATACTGAACCCTATACTATTGTGATGCATGCTACTTATGCTGACAGACATAAGTAGTATGTAACAAATCAGAAGTGGAACGCCTGGCAACAGAAAGTTGAGAAGATGAAATTGACGAGAATAGGAGTGTAAACGAAGAGTAATTGCAATAAAAACAAGAATGAAGGAACGATGAAGTTAAAATTGATGGGAGATGTGCAACTGATGCATTTAATGTATGGTGTCCATATTTTATGAAGACACTGTAAACTTGCATTAATAAACAAACTGGTCTTCCTCATCTGAGTGTTCATTCATTACACTATGAGATAATAGATGATCCAATAGTTCAACTTCCAATTTAGATTAATATCCATATATTGTATGATGGTTATAAAGAGGTTATCTCAGTGACATGTTTCTCCAACTGATTACGATCGATGATCAGAACAAACTTTCGAAGAAGTTCATTCATTCGAGTGTCAACATGATAATTTAAAACACTTGTTGACTTTATCTATTATTCTATCATTCATGGGAATTGTACAGTGTAAAATGTTAATTTTACTAAATTCATATAATTATTTAACAATTGTTTAATATCAACCCTGTTCTATTCTGTCAATAGTCGAATACGTAATACATTCAATGTGCTATTCAGAGAACTTCAAAGTTCATATAATCAATGGTATAGGAGAAAATGTTTTTGGAAAACTATTTATCACTTTCAGTTTATCAATTTTCTTGTTTAACATGGTTATACTTTGTTACTATGTTGACAGAGTTATTGGACTCCAAATTTGACCTTTATTTGTAATATAGAGCTATCTTATTAGTCTAGTCTTCTTTACCACTTATTGGTGTGTAAGTTATTAACATTAAAGTGTTCTTGTGTGTCGATAACTGGACTATCATCGAGTTTGCATTATTTCATGTCCATATTGGGAAAATCTCGAACATTCGTATCAAGAAATTTCTATTGATCCATTCACAGTCAATCTCAAAGTATCATAATGACACCCTTCCCTGAATTTTGGTTTTTTTTCTTTCCTTCAGTAAAATTTATGAATATAATGTCTTTTATTTAAAAAGAAACACTATTCAACTCTTCTCTATTTCTTTATGTTTTTTTATTTCAAGGAAGAAGTTGATCGGTGCCAACAAATGAAATGGGAAAATATGCAAACATATTTAACTCGTCTTGAAAGTGAAGCTCTACGATTGGCTAGTTTATGTTGTGTAGATGAGAAAATTATTCAACTACCAAATGACAGCGATAAACAAGATCCAGAAATATTAATTAATCACTTAGAGACTATATTAGAACAATTAAACCAAACCTATTATTTATATCGTCCTGTCTATGAATGTATTGCAGTATATGAATCGTCTTGGAAACAATTAATTGATGTTGAAGCTCGTTTAAAAGATCCATCAATATTTTCTAATCGTGGTGGTATTTTATTAAAAACAGAAAAAGAGAAAAAACGTCTATTGAAAGAAGTGGAACGTACTGAAAAAGAGGCAATATCAGCTATTGAACAATATGAATTGAAAAGTTCATCACATTTTCTCTTATCTAATGGTAAAACATTTACTGAACATATTAATGAAAGATGGAATAATTATAAAACACTTAAAGATACATCAAAATCACGTCGTTCAATTGTTCCAACCACTAGTAATAATAGTAATTCAACTATCAGTAATAATACTACCGGTAATACAACACGTCCAACTTCAGCTAATCTAACAGGATCACCTGTAGCTCACATTTAGTACTTATTTCATTGAATGGAAAACACTAAGTTTTCAGTTTTTCCCATTTCGTTGTACATACACACGCATATATATAAAGTAAACGCTTACAGACAAGCCTTTACTTCTCATATACATTTAATTTTGTAGGCTGTGAATCCAACTTTGAAAACACCAATAAACAGGGGTTTACAAGATTGACAGATAATGAAAGGAACATTGAATATGGTTTCATATGTAAATTCCTATTTTTCTTTCTTTTTCTTTATGTTTTATTATATTTCTTTACATAGTTTTTAATTACTTTGCTTAATTTTGTTGTTTTTATGTGTAAAAAGTGGTCATTAGAATCAATAATGGCTACCTAATATATATATACATATATATAACACCAATCAGCTGATCTAATAACTACTTTTCAATAAAACATGATTGTATTTATCGACACTTATTACCTAGTTGAGTTTATTCTGAAATGAGAAATCATATTTATCTCATATAATCTTTTCTATTGTGAGAAAATAATTTCGGTTGGGGTTATTATCTTTGTTGCTGTCCACAGTATACATTTTAAAAAAAAACAGCCCTAGAATGTGTGTTATTCACTTAATTTGACGCTTTCAATTTCTGTGAAAAAGTTTAATTCTATTGTGCAATAAATAAATTTGGATTTTTGTTTGTTTCACATGTAACCTGCTACTTTTTCTGTGTGTTGTTATCAATGAAGAATGTTTTTTGTTTGTTTCATTTTCGTATATTTTTCTTTTATCTTATATGTGTGTATGTGCATGCGTGTGTGCGTGTGTAGATGTTTATCCTTGGTTCAATTTGATAATTAATTAATAGTTCAAAAACCATTTCAAACATTCACTCATTTGGTTTTCATCCTTCATTTCGAATGAATTGGCTTGTTGTATACTAACTGAGTTGTCGTTCATGAACAGAATATATTAGAATAATAATAATAAACACTGTTCTGGTCGTAGTATCTGGGGTGCTTCTCTATTTCTATGACTTTGAGTAGAAATTAATTTTAGTAGATAAATGTGTAAATTAATTCACTTTTAATCCTTCAGTTATTTGAGTTAGTTACTGTTGAGTCGGCTTCCGGAGAACTTCAACGAAGCCTCCAGCGGCCCAAAAGGAGCCGAAGAGTCCTAGCCAACCAGAGTATGATCGAACATTCTAGAATTCCAACGCGGCGTGCTACTATTGGTCGGTAGCATAATATGTCGTTAACGGATTGGCTGAAATATAATGTTGATTCAACGGACGCCAACATTTAAAAATACCCATGATTTTCTGTACAAAAATGAACCTTAGGATAAAGTATTTTCTCTCATACTTGTGTCTCCTCTCTGGTGTTCAAGTCGCTGTGTAGTTCTAGACTACGGGTTACCAGAATAGCTTAGGAAAACGAATATAGCGTTCGATCGACAAGACTTATCAGTTACTTTTCTATGAACAATAGCATTAATGAAATGGTGAACTGATTGTAGCATTTAGAACACAATGAAATTCATTGTAGTAATGTATAATACATTCGATTGTTAAATTTGTTTTGAATTATTCAGATAGTTGGTGGAGTTTTCGTTTATGATGAATGGATATTGGCTTGACTGTCATTCCAAAAATAGAAAACATTAAACAGTTGTTTTATACATGTTTAAAGTTTCTCAGCAATGCGCACTAAAAGCTATTGGTAGGATTAGACTCAGAATATTTATGTCTCTCGACAAATACAATAATTTTAATCTGCTAAGTTTAACTTCTATGGTCCATGTTTTATTGTTCACCTGATTTGTAATATAACTCCACCACAATGAGCTAATGGCTACCATAATGAAAAGTATAAATGTTCAGACTTTATAAATTGAGATTTAGTCAGGCCAACTAAACTGTGATTTGCTGGTGAAGCTTCCATTTGTTTGACTAGTTCATTGTCAACCCGTCGAGAAAAGTATGAACACATTTATGGATTCATTATCATAACATTTTCATGACTATCTCATATTTTATGTCAATGAAATTGGTCACCGGTATTTTGTTCCTGACCAAGTGGTTGGGCATACCATGCTAGTGTATTTGTGACCTTGCAAATTACAGCAGATACTTCGTGTGACCAGAGCTCAAGTTTATGAAGTGAGATCATGGTTGACAAAATATCTTTCAGATGCCGTATAACTTAACACATGTACAGCCTTCATTTTGCCCACAGGCATCCTTTTCTAATACATCCCATGATACTATCGAATCAGAGGTGTGAGCATTACTATTTATAGGTAAACCAAGTAAAGTTAGTCTACAATATTTTATCTGTTTTAAAAATAATAGTATGATTAGTGGAAACTTTCACGTATCTGGGCAACATCGATGAACATGGAGGATCTGATGCAGACGTAAAGACGAGGATCGGCAAAGCAAAGGCAGTATTCCTGCGGTTGAAAAACATATGGAACTCAGAACAACTGTCAACTAACATCAAAGTTAGAATCTTCATCACAAACATCAAGACAGGCGTACTGTACGGAGCTGAAACTTGGAGAACTACCGCAATCATTATCAAAAAAGGACAAGTATCTATGACAGTTATCTACACAAGATACTCAATGTCCGTTTGTTGGATACCATCAGTAACAGCTAGTATGGGTGAGAACAAACTAACTTCCAACTAAAGAGGAAATTAGAAAAAGACGCTTCGGGTGAAATAGATTTGAGTTTATGTTCGTGGAAACTAAATTTTCTTAAGCTACATAAATTCTCAACATCCCTATATATTTGAAATCCTTTTTCATCTATTAGGATTTCAGAAAACCAGTATTGTCAATAGTTACCGATTACTGGCAAATGTGATTCGTAGTTTAGTACATTAACCTTGTACCTATTAAATGAGTTATCAGAATTTCGAATTGGACTACTAACCCGTATAGTGTTGCGATTAGTGTTCGAAAAAAATAACAGTAGTTTTGAATGAATAATAATGAGTAGATTCAAACAACCATATAAATGAATTATGATCCACAACACTGTAGAAATCAGTGGTTCACTCAACTGAGTAGCTAAGAGGATGGAGATTGAAAATTTGGAGCGAAAGGTACGGAATTCGACTCCCGTAGTGAAAACTAATCCTCGGATATACGTACATCTAACTGACGAGCACTAAACAGGACGAAAAACTCATCCTGAATTTCACTATTAGCTCCCACACAATTTTGCTATAAATTTAAATGAAATTTCGATTCAAAGTTATTCCGAAAAAAGTGAGGAACAGTTGGTAGTTATAGGGATTTTTATTGTTTCGTTATTGTAAATAAATATTTCAAACTGACTGAATCGATCTTCTAGTAAATAAGTTGGTGTCAACTTTTGACGATGGTCATATATCTTGTGAAAAAGGTAAAATATGATTCTAATCGTTAGGTCTACATATTAAATAAGTTGACATGATAGAGGGTGTTTGTAACTCAGGTAAAAGATGTTAGTTAGTTGTGTTTAAATTCGAATAGTTCACAGTTCATTCGAACGCATGCTGGCGGTTTTTTTCAGAAAACCAACGAAAGCCACATAAATAAACCATACAACTAAGAGAATATAATACCAACTACATAATAAGTACTTGTAACTCTGTCCATAGAATTGAACATCCTTCCTTCTCTTTTTCACATAATAATATTCAGCTACTTTAATTATTTGTTAGTAGGTACATAACTACAACGTTGTTTTTTTTAAATGTCTGTCATTATTTGTTGTTAAACAATAATTCGAGTGATTTTAAGTAGTTTTCTCGTTATGAATCGTGATTAATTTAACCACAACTATTCCTCACTTTAAATTTAACTCTACGAGAGTAACCTTCTCTAATTTGTTGCTCAATCAAAATACATTACTACTCCAATAAGTTTCTTTATTACACGGAATCATGCAATAACTTACCTATGAAATTTACTATCTATAAAACAAAAAGGTTAAGCTATCAGATTTACCCTACACTTCGATCACTACAGCTAGTGTGAACTTAAGATTCTGAATGAAAATTAGTTAGTTCAGAAATACTTAATCATTTATTTATCCCCATCGAATAGATTAGAGACTATTAGGACTTAGTAGCTAAGTATACGTTTAAAGCGAATGGTATTACGTCCGAATCTCAGTGTAAACATCAAAACTAAGATGTAGGTACACATAATTGACTAGTCCCTAGGAATACGAAGCGCGTGTCCTGTTTTTGATTGCTAGTAACTATCCATCATCGATCTCTTGTTGTAGTTCTCAGAATCATTGAGGTTTACCCAACAACTTAACTATCGAATTAGAGCTCCTTTATATTGTACCAAAGTATAATAATCAGTATTTTGTTTGAATTGTATGGACAGGAAAGATTTCAAGAGCTGATTACTTCGTTGTAAATTTTAGATATCACCAACACATCTGTTATTTTCTTTTCTACCACAAAATCTGTCTTGCTGTTGATAAGTGATGGTTCAAAACAAACAGTTTTTTTATTAAACCTAGGACTACTATGTTCATTTGACACAACTAAAACACCTCATCTATAAGTGCTATCAAAAGTCTGCTCGATGACGCTTCTTATTTTACATAATATCTGTGATCAATCAATTGGAAATGTCTCAATCTTTGAGGAGATCATGTACATACTGGATAGCTCAACGATAACGTATATATATATATATATATATATAATATATATATAATTGCTTCAATCACTCAGATCTCTCTATTTACTAGTCAGCACACACAATAGCTTCACTTATGTGTATTAATGTTCAAAATTAAAAAGAATATTAGTAGAATATCGTAAGCAACTGTTTTAATATGCAATCTAAAAATTCTTAGATTATCCATTTGATTACTGTACTAAAATAACAATAAACAGTAAACGAAAATCCACTGATAAATTGTCGTGTACTGGATGTATGACTAAACTAACGAAAAAAATAACTACCTACATAGTTAATGGATCATGAAAATCAATGACAACAAAGAGTTAAAAGTTAAAATTAATGGTCACCTATACTTAATTAGACACATCAAAGTGGATTGGCTGAAGTAAGACATTAACACCATTGAATGCCCGCTCAGTGGTCTAGTGGTTAGGTGCTCACACATAAGACCGGTAAATCCTAAGTTCGAATCTCACGGAGCGGAATCGTGGATGCGCACTGCTGAGGAGTCCCATACTAAGATGAAACAGCCGTCCAACGCTCCCAAGCTTTCCATGATGGTCTAGCTTCAATTGACTCATGAATTCAACTATTAAATTACATCAACGTATGTTAAATTCATTCGTCTCGATTAAATATCAGCTAGAGAACTTCTAACTATTAAGCATTGCTTTTCATTTAATTCTTTTTTTGGCATTTTATCCATGTTGCACTTATTTTACTCATTTCAAGTTGAAATTATTAATTAATTAAACGAATATAATTTCACTGCTTTTTGTGATCTAACTATAGATAAATAACGCAAATTTCCAACATAACCATTTGGTAACCAACTAGAATTAGTGAAAGGATACATTTTTAATAATTAAATTGGATAATACTTATGTCTTAAGTCAAAGCATATGTAAAATAGAACTTAGATCTAAATAATTAGTTTTTATATGTTCACAGAAAAACCCGGAAATTGAGATCAATTTTGTAGGAAATTAAGACTATTAACTCAAGTATAAATCAGATATTCACTTAATATTCTTCAATTTACATGGTGTCTATCGAGGTAAAATTCACCTCTATTTAAAGTTTGTGCTGATGATGTCGTTCAGAAGAACGATGAAAGCTCTACAACCAAACCATCCAGCTCAGAGAACAAAAATCCATCAAAATCACTTTAGGCAAAAATCAACTTCAACAGAGTTCATTTTATAGATATCAGGCAACAACATTACTTATTTACTTCTGTACAAAAAATATGGTATGAAATTTTGTGAACATCTAATATTAGTGATGGAAAATTTCAGAATAGACTACATCATTTTCATAGGTTGAAATGGATGGAATTTGAGCATTATCAATATTATATTTTAATTCTTCTGTGGTAAGTTTCTAATAATGAGTGATTTATGAAATACATGTAACCACCCTGTTTGGATGAATGTACATCGACACTTGGTTGCTAAGTGATGTTATTGGTATTCACAACGACTAAGATAGTCCTTCTTCTATAGATGGATGTCTCACTTAAACACAAGATTATTTTAACTAGGGATTGATACTAAGTAGGGAATCATTAAAAACAGAAACATTGGACAACTGCTTCATCTAAGTACGAAACTTAACAATATAACGAACTATCAACATAAACAAGACCTTTGAAAATTGTAGCTAATATGTATACTCTAGATCATAACGCTGGAATACAGAGGTTCATAGTTCACTCAACTTACGTAATAACCCGATGGTTATCCAATATTGATATGCAATCGTAATCTTTGTTTGATGATGAATAGTTTATTTCAATAAAACTAATGTAATCATAACAGTGGAATTAAATCGCATACTTACAACTACTTATTATAAAACTGATCTCAACCAAGATTGTATCGCAGATTAAATATGCTTTAATCATTTTTTTTACGTATTTATAAGATTACGTGAAATTTAAGAACAAAGTAATTTATTATTTACTATTCCAACCGTCAGATCTACTGTATATTGATTCGTAATAGATCTGAGTTTTTTGTTTCAAAGTAGTGAAATATCTGCTGTTATAAATTGACAGAAAGTATCGGTTATTAGCGTCAATCAAAGTTAACTAGCTGATGGTTAGTGAAACAACTATCCAACGGATTAAGTATGTAGCTTTTCTATTAATAAAGCTACTATTTAATTTTAGCCAGTGAATTTTAAAAAAAGAATGACAAAGGTACACAACATTTATTTTTTACTTCATTAAGCTTATAAGCCAATTAGTTTGTCTTGTTTTTGTAAAGAAAGCCTAATGAATTCATTATTTTGCAAATTGTAGATCTTAAGCTTCCTGTATTAATCAATGCATAGACAACAAGACTGGCTTACATATTCTAGTGATAATAGAAATACTATCACTTCTACTCTAAACTTCATCAGGAGAAGTAAGTTTACTCAGTTTGAATTGTATTCTATCTGTTAGAGACTATCCAACGTTAAGATAACAATTACTACTACTGTTACGACCACTATTAGTATTACAACTGATTAAGATAGTAATATAGTCTTCGAAATGTTAATTTTTTCTTTCAATCACCAATTCTAAATCAATCAACGTATATACATTATATTTTCTGTTATTTTAAAAACAATATGAATTAAACAACCTATATCCATTGTTGTTCAAATCAGTACTCTATTTGATCCATTGTATTCAACATAATAGTAGCATTAATGTACTATAATCATCGTAATTATAATAAATAATGCTGTGATCGCTTCACAATAGGAAAGTAATAATAATAATAATAGAAAAAAACGATAATGATCAGTGTTTGACTATTTTCACTTATGTGTAAAATGAAAATACCCATTATAATATGATAACATGTAATTGTAAATAATCACTTGTAAAAAACAAAACACAACTGTGAATGCATCCCATGAGTAATTCATGGACAAATAATATTCTATTTGACTAACAACGAAACATACTCTATTAAAGAAAACTTACGACATATATATACATACATTGATGATGGCGTTGATCCATTACCTTAAGAGTAGATCTATACTGTGAAACAGTTTGACATTAGATGAATTGTTTTTTTACTCTTATTTTCAATAATCATTTTCATTGTGAATGTTTACTACAGAGAGAGAGTGATAGTTTATGAAAAATGCTCATTATTCTATATCCATATTATGTATATTACTAACCAATTAGAGATCTCATACCTTTTACAATATAAGTATACACATGAAAATTTTATTCGGGATAAAAATGAATTACATATGGTAGTAATAATAATTGTTGTACATTTGCATAATTTAATATTCACTTGATTAGAGGAAAGAAAAAACAAAACAAAGAAACCACACATCAAAAAAAAAGAAACAGTCCATTTATCAGTTAGTGAAAATTTACGAAAAAAATCTACTCATAATGCAATGGTTAACTATGATTTTTTATTTATTTTTAATGTTCTCAATAAATTGGTTAATTAGTGATACATTGGAGTTAGATGATACATTCAAAGATGATTATGATGATGGTAAGTTAAATAACCAATAGTAATAGTAAGTAAGAAACATTATTTGTATTTATCATTAAGCTATTTGTTTGTTTTGTTTATTTGTAAATAAACTTGGTAATGATTACTGTAAGAACTAAATGTCATTATCTATGCATTTATTTTACTCTGTACGACGTGTAAAAGGTTCAATTTTGTTATAAATGGTAACTGAACCATTGACTTCACTTGGTATTGTTTGACTTGCATCTTTCCATTGTCGTTTAAGACTGCAGTTGATCAGTTTGTTATTGGCATATGTGCATACTGTGCGCATGCCTCGATATTATCTTAATTCACAAGATACAAGCCAAACAATACGAAGTGAATTCAAATTCACCCCATTACACAAGCAAGTGGCTATCAGGATTCAGTAGCTGAGTGGATAACGCGATGGCGTTTGAAGCGAATGGTACTGGGTTCGAATCTCAGAGTGAACACCAACTCTCTGAGATGCAGGTATATCCAGCTGACGAGTCCCAACTAGGACGAAACGCACGTCCTGGATTACTTTGCTAGCCACTATCCATCATTGAACCATTGATTGTTCGCTTTTCGTTTTAAACAAAAAAAAGAATACGAGAAAATAATCATTAAGCATTCTAGGAATTTCAAATCAAAGCACTTGATTCATCAAAAGGCGAAAGAATATAATTGTTAAATGTAAATAAAATAAATTATTCGATAAGTTTGATGCTTGAAATAGTTTGGATCAGGTTACTAAGTGAAACGTTGAATTTATTTCAAATTCATTTACTGAAATTTTAATCAATACATTCTTCTTCTTTAATGTCTCATATCAGCATGGTGCCCAAATACTGTGAAACGATTTGATCAAATTTGGATTAGGTTTCTTTTATAAAAAGGCTTTTAATTATTGGCAATTATTAAGCATTGTATATGAATGATAATTAATGAGATAAGAGTAATATAATAATTTACCAGTGGAGTTCAACCAGGTCTGTTGTGAGATTGGAACTCACTGAAGACAATGGTGTACGGTGGCGCAACTTCGTGGATTGGTTGAAGTTAGACATTAACACCGTTGGATGCCGGCCCAGTGGTCTAGTGGTTAAGTGCTCGCGCGCGAAGCCGGTAGGTCATGGGTTCGAGCCCCGCGTGGTGCGGGATCGTGGATGCGCACTGCTGAGGAGTCCCATACTAGGACGAAACGGCCGTCCAGTGCTTCCAGGTTTTCAATGGTGGTCTAGCTTCAACTGACTCATGATTTCAATCTGTGAAATTTCTAAAATCTACACAAAACCCATTCTGATAATTATTGTTTTATCAAATTGCTTATAAATTTCAGAATGGTTTTAGCAAAAATATGTAATGAAAGAGATAGTTAAATAGTTGCTCAAAATAACCGAATATAATAAATTTAATAGTTGAGATTGTGAGTCAATTGAAGTTAGACCATCATGAAAAACTTGGAAGGATAGGACGGCCATTTTGTCCAGGTTTTCCATGGTGGTCTAGCTTCAATTCAACCATGATCTCAACTATTGAAATGACTACAATCTCCACAAAACCTCTTCTGATAATATTAAATGTTGCTAAGAAACAAATGAATTTTTGACACGAAATCATCACATATGAAACAATATAACTTAGTTCGGTTGTTTTTTTTTTTGAGTCATAATATGGCTATTTGTGAGTATGATGCACTATTGGGCTGATATCAGTCGACAAAAATTATCTGGTTTATATTCGTTCATAATTAAAATTCATTAGAATAACGTATCTGTAAATATGAAAAAATCGGTGCTTTCTTTATTTCGATAGAACAATGAGAAGACGGAGTTGATCTGAAATATTTCAAACAATCTGGTCACACATATACTTGTTAGGGCATTTTATATGAAAATTAATAAAGGTCAATTAAATGAAAGTTCAAGTAAAAAGTAACAAAGGGGAGAGTGTGATGGACCAGACGATATATAAACGCAAAAAATATCAACAAAGTTAATAAAGATCAATAGAAATGTTAATATATATAAGTTAATTATTACAAATACAATAGAAAGTTGGAACTTTACTTAAGTTCACCAAATTGATGAGTGTTCGGCTTTCGTCTGATACTAAGAAACCACAATTATAAATGCTTGGTAATTCCAGTCTGGTCAACGAACTCTCCAGTGATATAATTCAACGTAGGATGTGATATATTCCAATACGTCAGCTAAGAGAGGCCCCAAAAGGCTACCCATAGCTGGGTTCGAATATCGCAGGGGCGGGGTCGTGGATGCGCTCTGCTGAGGAGTTCCACAATAGAACGAAACAGCCGTCCAGCGCTTCCAAGTCTTCCATGGTGGTCTAGCTTCAACTGACTCATGATCTTAACCATTGAAATATATTTTTGTTTGTTATCAAGGAGAGAGGTTACTAGGAAGCAAGAGATTATTAAAACAGAACCACTAAAACCATAGTAAACAATAGTCCTATCATATTTCTAATTTACTTAGTAACATTCCGGATATCCGAAATTTCTATCATTATAGTGATATCATGAATTGGTATTGTTTAACTGATAAAAGTAACGTACCAATTCATAGTTTATTAAGAAATAGGCAATTCACCTGTAGGAATAATTATCTTATATTATTGATTTAGTATTTAATTAAAAGGGAATCCAGAGAGAATAAATTTTTAGAATTTCTTAAATTTTCATATTTTTTGTTGTTGGTTAAAACATTAATGTATTTCAAATGTTTACTAAAAGAAAGAATGAATGAATCCGGATTAGTATTGTGGTGTGGATTATTTATATCCACATAAGTAGTATATAATGGTGGTAAGGCATAGAATGGATTTCAGTAGAAGGTCGATGAGGAAAGAACGGGGACGGAACGCGATTGGCATGAAAACGAATGAAAAATGAAATCTGAAACGATGGATTGATTTTTGCGACAGGAATGGTGAAGTTTGAGATGATGGGTTGATCTTTTGCAAATTAATGATTTACTATATGGTTCTCAGATTTTATTGAGATGCTCTGTAATTTTGTGTTCAAATACATTCGACTGTCCCCACTCATGTTTTGTTAATTACACTACCGTCTAATCATAGATACATGTTAAATAAAGAGATAAGGTTTTTATTGAGATCATGAATTGATTGATGTTAGACCACCGCTAAAAACCTAGAATCACTGGACGACCGTTTCGTCCCATTGTAGGACTACTCAGCAGTGCGCATCCACGATCTCTCTCGCAGGATTCGAATCCAGGGCCTTCAATCTCTCATGTGAACGCTTAACCCCTAGATCACTGAGTCGGCACCCAACGGTGTTAATGTCTAACCTCAACCAATCCTATGTTGATAATTATTTTTATTAGTCTGAAAGTTTACGAAGATGTTTTAGTTTAAAGATAGTGTTCATAATCGACGAATGTTAGTTAGAAATTGTTGATGTTTCTGACAAAGATTCATATGCTATAAGAAGATAGCTATTGAACTTTTTTCATTTTTCGATTTCTTACTAATTTTCATGAATCTTCAAATACTTAATATTATGCCTCATAATGAGAACATTTCCAAATGTTTGAAACAAAGTGAAAAGATTTTAATTGAGAAAGATTAGTTCAGCGAAGAGTTCTCTTATCAGGGCGAATTCATTTTCAAAGCTGTACAATCGCATATATATATATATATATATATATATATATATATATATATATATATATATACTTATTTTAACAGGATGATAATAATACTGATAATAAACTTCTGTTAGGCATGTTGACAGTGGGGTTAAATAAACCTTTAAAAACAAGAAAAGTTTAATATTTATTTGATTAATAATGGCTCAAGTATTCATCAAAGGATAGATAAGGAAATTATCATTGGGAAAAGATAGATCAGCATGATAAGATAAAATGTTGAAATTGAGATTAAATGTAATGCGGGTGATCGTGGCAACAAAATGAACTAATCTTTCTTAATTAATGTCTTAATGGGTGTATTCCGTTTATTAGAATAAAAGATATTGGATAATTAGACTAAGAATAGTTACTATGATAACCATTATTATTAAAAAAATAAAATCAAGTGATTAATAATATTGTGGCGTGTGCTACTTATATTGACATAAGTAGTATATGATGTTAGTCGTGAACAGAAGGTCTGGCAGCAGAGAGACAAGAGGATCGAACAGTAAAGAATGGAAACAGAATGCAATTTGTATGAAAATGCAAGAACAATGAAGTCTAAGTCACTGGTGTTCTAGTGTTCTTGTTCACTACAATATATAATTAATGATTTTACATGAAAAAACAAACCATTCATAACAATAAAATAATAAGAAATAGGAATAATGTTAAGTAAATATCTGGTTAAAGTAAATTATAATAAAATTCTGATTAAAAGAATTACGTAACAAAGTTTTATTATGTTCAAATAACTCTAATTTGAAATACTAATTGAATAATATGACCACAGTATAAACTATGCTTAAATGGAAATTTTTTAAACATACCTGTAAGGCTATAATTTATGAACCAACCAATTAGATATAAAATTTTGACTCGAAATACACTAATCCATTTGGCTAAATAGAGTTTTGGCATTATATTTAATGTCAGTTTGTGATGAAAACCCTAAATCTAATTCCTAACCTTAAACATCAATTAGTAATTCCTAATTCCAATTCCTCATACTGGTTAATAATCATCATTTGGTTCTAGTTATTTCAGTGTACACTCTCAAGATCACTTTAATGTCACTTCAAAATACCTTGTTCATTGAATTATGAAACAGTAATCCATTGGTTCAGTCCCATAGTGATCTAACTTTAATTAACTCATAAATCCAATGATTAAAATAATTAAATTATTCTTTATTACAAGTTGATTGATATCAAATGAACTATCCATCTGTTGTTGTCATTTCTATATTATCTTTTAGAAATAAATTATTCAATACAAGGAGGAATACGCAAATTACCTCCTTTTTTGTCTTTTTTATTAACTTAATCGCTTATT